TTGGCAAACTGTTTTGTTCTATTCCGCCTTTTAGCTGTCCTATTCTGATCTCCAACTTCATCTTCTGAAAGCCATTGTTTTGTTTGCGCACCTCACATTTCAAGATTGTTCCCCTCCTTAACTATTATGTTCTGTTCCGTTCCGCTCGTCCTTTTTTTGGAACCGCTCTGTTCTATTCCGGCACTCTTCTAGTTTAACCGTCACCTCTCGCATATTGAGCAAAAATTTTTCCAAGTCCAAGATCTTTCATTTGAAGGTCACTATCTGTGTCCATTGATTATACATCGCATCTCTCATTTGTTGTATTTTGTCTCATTCCCTCTCTTACCTATGTGATATTGCCTTTTCATTACGTGTCTACCTANTGGCCCTAAAGAGGGCCGTTGGGTTTAAGTTATTTGTTGGCCCTAAAGAGGGCTGTTGGGTTTAAGTTGCGCTGTTCCAGCGCCTTCTTATATGAGGTAAATTTCTGCTATTGGAAAATGGAAATCTTAGACACCACGTCACAAAATTTGAACCCACGAAGCACATCCACATCGTCACATAACAAACTGATTATTCTACGGCTTCTGATAACTTTAAATAGTGAGTCGTGAAAGCAATCTGCGATGGCAGGGTTCAGGTTTTGTATTAAGAAACATGAAAACAAACTCTGGAGTCACAATTGTAATGCGTGACCTCTCTGAACATTATGCTTACGTAGATTACTGTAATCCTTGAAATTTAGGTGAATGAAGCATTGCGATCATTTGTAATCGTACTGAGACATTCATTATGATCACTTACAATTCTGTTGCATTGTATAGTGTTCACAGTGTCTCGAATTTGTCGTGCTCCCTGCCTCTCCATCCATGGAAACCTCTCAACCGTTAGACGGATATGGTGAGCGATACATGTGATGTTCGCAATGAAAGCAAAGAGAAAAGTGATGTGAGAGAGCCTTCTCTTTAAGACTTCAAAAAACTTTTGCTCAAAATGCGAGAGGTGACAGCTAAACTAGAAGAGTGGCACATACCTTTCAAAAATTCTCGAAGCAATTTGCACACGTCATCTTTGATTCACACTGACACATCGCCTTAAACAAGCTCTGATCTGTAAACTGTATTGAAGCAATCACATTTCATCGAATGAGAACAAACTTTGCATTCGCATTATAACTAGTAAGTTCATCTTCTTCAGAGCAATTATTCATTATGCAGGTGACTTATTGCACTCACTGGCAATCACTGCTTCGCTTGCGGTACAAATTCCTCACTTCTTGAAAGTCGATCAATTCATTAACGTTTTGCTCTGACTGCAACAAACAAAAGGCATCAAAATCGATATTCTAGAAACATGTCGGCTTTCTGTGCACACATCTGAGGGTTCGAATAAGAATGGTAATGGGTAAACTGTATATGAATACGAAAGCGCCGCCCCCTATGAACATTATTCGCGTTTACGTACACCACCCATCTGTTTAGACGTAGTATTGCTATGACGCAAATTTGAGTGAGTGAATGCGATAGATTTCATCATAAGACAAGACAAGCAAATAGTTTAAGTGAATGATGCAGTCGAAACAATGATAACAATCTTATGATGGGATAGAAGAAGGGAAAGAATGAGACGCTTGAGAAAGAGTATGTGGGTATGTATGATGCTGATGAAACAGACAATCGATGCGCATCTAAGAAGAGGTCATGTCGGATGAGGTGGAGTGATGTATCGATGCCGGAAATCACTGCTTTACTTCGGATCGTTCATCGCAGCACAGGCGGAGAAGAAAGAAATTAGTTGAGCGGATGTGACGGTGGGAAAACATCAGTGAATATCTATTTCATTTTTGCTCGATAGTGAAGGGCTCCGATGTGGTCTGCGCCATATCTTAAAGTAGGCGGGTAGCGAGCATTCCTCAACTTTGAGCGTTGAACATAATTTGAGCTGCTTGTTGTTAGAATAGTACAAAATCTTGACTTATGATGGTCAGATACAATGGTGGATGATTATCATCAATATTAACCTTAGAAATAACGTCACGTTTCCTCAGAAACTAGGCTCAGAAAGTCAGCATCTCTGAGCTGAATATTGACAGTAAGTTGGTACTATTCATACTCGAACGTTATCGATTCAAATAAGTGTAATAGAGGATGCAGACCAGACTGGAATGGACTTATGGTGCAAGTAAGATGAGACTGTATGACCTTGTTAGGTAGTTTCTACTCGTACGATGCACACGCACACACGTCAGTGCAAACACGATGTGAATGCCCTCTAAATCATGCGTCCCGCCGCCTCTACATACCGTCAATTCTTCTCACAGTACATTCCATTGACGTGCATTCTACGAGTGCATGTCATATTTTATTTAATCAATGTGGGTAAGTTCAGGCCGAATTATAATTCATTTTAATCAAGCAAAAGTTTGCGAAATCCAAAATAGCACCACTTTACATCAGTCTATTTGTTATTCGAACCTACATTTTTTCTGATATTCCTTTCTCAGTCGCATCCCAGCGAAACCTGAGCAAAAAAGCAGTTACACGTTACAAATTTGACATGATAACAGCTATGCTTTGTGGCTCAATAATCGCGACTAAAATTGATTTGACTGTATTGAATGGTTTACGGATACGTTCAAGATGCATGACCTATCATGAGTAGTAATAAATAAATGGAATAAGATAGCTTCATTGCTTCTTTGAACGATAGCTTTTTGAGTGTATGAATCAACGGTGATGCATTGACGGAGAGAAGAATGCCGCATGTTCATTTTGAAGGAACTCGTATTCTGTGCTGATGCAGGAGTTTCTGGAATAGAGGTGACCTTCTGCATCCGAAATCTGATATTTGCGCATCGCAAATGTGATGCTCAGAAAGCGAAATCAATCGACGTTGTTCTTATGAAGTGAGAACCACGTCGCAATAACCGCATCAGTAAGCAGTTGTTACGTAAGTGCTATGGTTGATTCAGTATGCGTTTCACTTGATGCGATAAGTTAGTACTAGAAACACTTTTTTCGAATCCACTTGGCTCTCTTCTGTTGCAGTTCTACAAATAATTGACCGTTTTCCCACCTCATTTCAACGTTACCTGTACTCGTCATAACTCATTACATACGTTTTTTAAAGCTGGGAACTGACAGCTTATTTTCGGTGGTCACCGACCGAACTTCCTATCACTGGCCACTGAACTTTAGGGGCCAACAATGCAATAGCAAACACTCGTATTGATCGGTGGCCACCAAACAGTCTTTCCAGTCCTCAGTAGATGACCATCGAAATACGATTGTCCGATCCCACCGACCGGTCAATCTCTTTCGGTTTCGATCGATGGCCGCTGACTCATCTCTTATGAGTTTGGTTCGTTTTTACCCTGTGCATCACTGCTCCAAATTTTACACGAAACCGTCTTTCCATCGCAAGTCCAGAATTCTGTGGAAATCTGCGGAAGTACCAGTTTGCTATCGCTTTTGTTAGAAGACTAAAAGTGCATAAATTTAAACACAGTCGAATGTTTATGTAAGGAATGGATATGACCTATAACCCTGTAAGTGTAACGTATAACCCATATTGAACACATTTGCCATCGTTTCAAACTACACCCAAAAACATCGCTTAAGATTTTTTCCTTCGTCCTCAAACCATATTCCATACTGTCAACAATTCAATGCCCATTTCTTCATCGCTTGTCTAAATGACGTCATCGTAACGCAACATATTTTGTAAATGATATGAAGGATGGTTACTCATATGATCGTGATTCATCTCAGATGCTTAAAAGCAGAACACACCTTAACAAACACGGTCAGTGTTCTTTAGTCATCTACGCTTTGGTTCGTTTCACAAATTCTTTTCGATGCACTTACATATGAGCGTTATTTTGAGCATAAAGCGTTTCGCAAATTGATTAGCGGCGAATGTGAACGATTAGGGGCGAACCAGCACGAGACGTCTCTCTCTCCTATAGCCTTCACGTGACGGGTGGGATGTCTTCTAGTTGGCACACTTCCAACACTTCTATTGCACTCTTTGAATGGCATGCTGCTAGCTTAACCTGGATTGAACTAGCAGTTGGCACTTCGCCAACGCGGGATCGTAGGCGGAGTTTGGCATGGCACGCCCCGTTCTCTTCTGAATGTGCCTCGTGCAATACATTTTAGTGTGTGGCGCACGTTCGTTGAATCTAGTGAAATAGAGTGATCATTTCTCTATACATATACATATATCTGTGTATACATATATATATATATATGTATACATATATATAT